CCGGTCCTCTCGCTCGCACTCCCGCGGAGCTATTCGCTCTTTTTATGATTATCATTGGGTCTCTTTAAACGATCGTATGATTGGAGGAGGCTGGCCGGGCTCCCCGCTCCCCCGCCCTCCCCGCGCCGCCCCTCCGCGCGCCTCACCCGGGCCTCCAGCGGCAGGGCCTCCCCCATGGCGGCGGCCTCCAGTCGGCGCGCGATCGCCGGGCGACGAGGACGGTTTGACGCTCAGCGGGTATGACGTGACATGTTCCGGGACGTGCCCGTGGCCGTGCTCCGCCCCTCCGCCGGGCCCCCGCGCGGGGTCGGCCCCACGGGGCCCCACCAGGGCGCCTTCTGTGTCGACTCGCTCCTGTCGTCGAGGCCGTCCCGGTCGCCGGCGTCGGCGTCCTCGGACGACGCCACCTCCTCGGACGAGCGGCCCCCGAGCAGCGGCGGCGGCTCGACGCCGTCCTCCCTCAGCACGCTGGTCGCGGCCGCGGGCCTGAGCGGCTTCCCCGGCGGCGCCCTGGGCGGGCTCGGCCTCGGGATGCCGCCGTCGTCGGAGCCCCCGCCCAAGCCCACCCCGGCGCTCAAGTTCAGCGTCAGCGCCATCCTGGGCTCCTCGGACCACCATCACCACCACCACGCGCCCCGGCCGTCGCCCTCACCAGGTGAGAGTGAGCGAGGAAGGGGGCACTTCGGACACGAGCGAGCAAGCGCAAGCTAGGATAAGAGAGCGAGCGAGTGGGAGGAGTCAGCAAGTGTGTCCAGACGTGCGAGTGAATGTTGCAGCGTGCGATCCTGTGAAGTGATTTAAAGTGATTAGTGAAGGGATGAGAAGTTGTCAGTTATTGTCGCACACCCGCGCAGAGGACGGCGCGGAGACTTGTCGTCTTTGACAGATTCTCACTAATCTTTAGCCTTTCATTTGATTCGGGTGACATCCTGATGTAGGTCGCACGCGGCTTGGGAAGGTTTCCTCGCGACATTCGGCACCACCTGGCATCTAAGTCTCCGTACACCTTGCCTCGAGCGGCAGGAAAGTTTTATGACCTTTGCATTGTGTTTTGTGGAGTGGAACTGTGGAAATCCAACATTAAGACAGTCCCACTGTTTAAACAGTAGGACACCCAGGTAGAACACAATCGCAAAAACTCGTGAATGACCCTCATTTGACGTCAAAATGAGCTCAATCTGTCTACGTAGCCGCAGTAAATCTTGACGATGAGCGTCAAAATGAGGTCATTGGGACATCATTTTGACAAACGCGTTCTACCAGGGCAAAATGTCATACTTTTGCAGCCGCAGGACAGACTTGTCTCACTGTTGTTGTACTTACACACTGTTATATAACAGTGGGGATCCGCGCAACCAGTAGGACAAGTGGGCCAAGCCTTTTCTTCAGCTCGATTTCATAGAAAAATCGCTGAGCGTAGAGTAGTAAATGTTTTTAAAAATATTCAACGCGTTGAGTTCGGTTGAATTTTAGGTTTGTTGCGTTCGGTGTTGGCCGTACATTTAGAGCACAGACAATTGACTCTAACGACCCCAGCTACCAATAATAGCAAACGACGGAACAGAGTGCTTCAAAAATATCTAAGGCCTGCATTTGCAATTGCAAGAGAATTTTACACATGTCAATAGGTTTATGATTCTTTTGAAAAGCATGCAGACCGGTCGCTCGCAGATATGTCATGTTTTACATTAGAAAGTCGTCCTAATTTACTTAATTTAAAAATATTGACTTGCTCCAAAGCAGCATTCAAATTTGACGCCCTTCAAACAGAGTTGGAAGCTTCTGTCGTTCAAGGATAAATTTCATCGTCATCCTAAAACCTTGCCTAGGCGTATCTCTGCCGGTATCTGCAAACCATCCGAGGTGACATTATCGTTCGCGTTGTTATTCTCGTATATTATTTTTATGGTCTACACATTGATTCGATGTTATTATTATTATCATTGTGTGGGAGTCCACCACAGGACGAGCCCCAACCACGCCACGTCACACACAAAGACACAATTCGGGGGGGAAACGGCACAAAACCAAGGCCGAAAAAAACACATATGCACAGCCATAACTTTTTTCCCCGCCAAAAAATAAACGATTTAACGGACATCGTGTCGAGATATCGTGTCAGCGTGTTCATCACACGAGTTTATCTGCAACAACAAAAAATAATAAAAAGGGGCAGAAAAGCGCGCGCGGAGCAGCCGGGAACAAAACGAGACGAAACAACAACGGCAGCAGCAGCGCGGGGGCGGGCGGGGTGTCATGGCCGCGACAAAGCCGCACCACTGCCAAGGACCGTTTCGATAACGTTTTTATCGTTTTGCGGGTCCTTTTGTTTTTTCCATTACGCGCGTCGGCCCCAAACTTTCTGATCCCTTTTAACGCGCGATGGGCGGGCCGAGCGCCACGCCACGCCACGCCACGCCACGCCACGCCCCGCCACGCCACGCCACGCCCGCCGGCGGGACACTGACAAACTTTTCCAATCTGGTATTGAAACGAAAACTTTTCCGCGCTGCGCGATCGTTGATGGCTCGCCGTGATTTTCATAACCCCTCCATTCCGTTCCCCGCATACCCTTGCTCGTTCTACCTACAGTGCACCTCGAGGAGCGGCCTGCCGAAACGATGTCGAAACGATATCGTTATACGTCGTCGAGTTTCTCTGTTCCATAATCGTTCCGACATCGACCAGCTTGTCACTTTTGTCATTCTTTTGCGATATAAGATATAAGGAGGATTGTTTTGTTACAAGACGCGCAGACACGACAAAGTACAAAAAAGGACAAAAAAACGTTTTAACGTTTTGTATTTGAGCCGATGGGCGCTACCGCACAATAAACGGCGCTGGCACGTGCGCGGCGCGCGAGGCGCACTTGGGGCCATCTGCTTCCAATAACAACAACTTTTATTCCCCGTTTACCGTAAGGCTTCCCCCTTCTTGCCTTTCTGCCCGCCGCGGCGTCACGTCCCCGACGCCGCCATATTCACCCCCGGATATGCGCCCCTCCCGCCAATAAAGAATGGCGCAGTCCATATCCGGCCGCAGTTTGGCGCGAAAGGGATGAAAAGAAAGATAAGGAAAGATAGCGGCCCGGGTCTGAATTGAAATCGCAAAGACGATGCCGTAGTTCCAGCCGACAAATATGTTTTTGTTCGCGGTGCGGCGTCGGCGCTGCGGTTGAAGCCAAGGCGCTTAGGAAAAAAAACATGAAAATATTACGGGCAGCCATTTCAATTAATGACTAAATATATATTTACTCGCAGTAATCAAAGTTTAAGTCGAGTTGGAGCGGCGGCGGCGGCGTCTCCTCCGCTCCTAATCGTGTTATTTCGTTATTGGTAGTTGTTGGCGGTGCAAGCGGGAGGGGTGGTGAGCGCCTCGCCACCCGAGCACCGATCCAACTTTGATTAAGCGCTTAGATACGCCCAGTGCCTCCGCCCCCCTCTTGCCCTCCTAAGTGATCTCCGCCGGATATCGACTTAATGACACGCCCAGGGAGGGCGCCCTGCGCCCTATAGCTCCTGGCCCCGCCCCGCCCCTTACCCCC